TGGCTCACGCCTGTAATCCCAGCACTTTGGGAGGCCAAGGCGGGCAGATCACTTGAGGCCAGGAGTTCAAGACCAGCCTGACCAACATGGTGAAACCCCATCTCTACTAAAAATACACAAAAATTAGCTGGGTGTGGTGGCTGGCACCTGTAATCCCAGCTACTCGGGAGGCTGAGGCAGGAGAATTGCTTGAACCCAGGAGGCGGAGGTTGGAGTGAGCCGAGATCATGACACTGCACTCTAGCCTGACCACAGAGCAAGACTCCGTCTCAAAAAAAAAAAAAAAAAAAAAAGCAGTTTTAGGTTTATGAAAATATTAATCAGAAAGTAGAGTTCCCATATGCCCCTTTATCTCCCCCTCCCAAATTTTCCCTATTATCAAAATCTTGCATTCATGTAGATCATTCATTACAACTGATAAGCCAGTATTGATACATTGTTATTAACTAAAGTTCACAGTTTATATTAGGGTTCACGCTTTGTGTTATACACTATGGGTTTTGAAAAAATACATAAGGACATGTATACACCATTATAGTATCATAAGAATCCTTTCACTCCCTCAAAATCCTGTCCTCTCCCAATTCATCCTTCCCTATCTTGCCCTGAACCTCTGGCCACCACTGACCTCGTTACTGTCTCCATAGTTCTTCTTTTACCAGAATCACCTGGGGTCAGGAGTTCGAGACCAGCCTGGCCAACATGGTGAAACCCCATCTCTACTAATACAAAAACATTAGGTGGGTGTGTTGGCGCATGCCTGTAAACCTAGCTACTCAGGAGGCTGAGACAGGAGAATCACTTGAACCCGGGAGGCGGAAGTTGCAGTGAGCCAAGATCGTGCTATTACACTACAGACTGGGCGACGAGCAAAACTCCATCTGCAAAAATTAAAAAAAAAAAAAGAAACTGCCAAACTATCCTCCAAAGTATCTGTACCATTTTGTATTTCCTGCGGCAATGAATGAGAAATCCTGCTGTTCCAAATCCACACCAGTGTTTGGTGGCATCAGTGTTTTGGATTTTGGTCATAATTTAGGTGTGTAGTGGCATCTCACTGCTATTATATGCACAATCTAATGACATGATGTTGAGCATCTTTTCATCTGCATTGCCATCTGTCTGTCTTCTTTGGTGAGGTATCTGTTCAGATCTTTGGCCCACCTTTAAATTGGGTTATATTCTGACTATTGAGTTTCTTTTTTTCTTTCTTTCTTTTTGAGACAGAGCCTCACTCTGTCGCCAGGTGCCAGGCTGGAGTGCAGTGCTGCGATCTTGTGGTGCAACCTCCGCCTCCCAGGTTCAAGCAATTCTCCTGCCTCAGCCTCCCGAGTAGCTGGGACTACAGGCGCACACCACCATGCCCAGCTAATTTTGTATTTTAGTGGAGACGGGGTTTCACTATGTTGGCCAGGATGGTCTTGATCTCTTGACCTCATGATCCACCAGCCTTGGCCTCCCAAAGTGCTGGGATTAATATCAAAGGGCTCAGGTGATCCTCCCAAAGTGCTGGGATTACAGACGTGAGACATCACTCCCAGCTATCAGAGGCATTAAACAAGACAGTTCTATCAGAAGGGGAATCGTAAACTAAATAGTAAACATCAGCACAACTTAAAGCCATTAAAAAGAATTAGATCTCTAAGAAAAGAGTTGAACCCAGATGTGCTACAGTTTCATGCCTTTGAGGCACTGTATGTATTGCTCCCTCTACCTGAGACATTTGTCCCTATCCTTGTCTATGAATTACTCATAGGCAACTGACAAAAGTTCATGTCAACTGACTGACTCAGGAATCAACTGGCAAGACTCAGTTTAACTATTGGTTCCTTTGTGCAGCCTCCCTTGACTCCCTAAACAGAAATGCCCACTCCCCTCCTTGATGCCCCCACAGTAATATGGATCCACCTTCATTACACTTATTTCTATATTGCCTTTGTTTAGATGTCTGCCTCTTCCACTAGACTCCAGGAAGGCAAGCACCATGGCTAGTTCCTTGCACTGCTAGGACCCAGCATAACCCTTAGGACAATAAATACTCAGGAATCTTTGCAGAGAAGTGAGGACGAGGGGACTTGGTAAGGGCTATGAAGACCTCCTGCCTCCATCGGTGGGCAACCTTAGAATTTTCTAGGCTGATGGCTTGGAACCAAATAGTCACACAGGAATCTACTGGCACCTAAACTAATTCCCACTTTCAGGGAACCTTGTCATTCAGGATCCAGGTCCTCCTCTAGGACCGAAGGTGGCAAAATGTGTGCCCTTTGGAAACACTCCATGATACATGAAGAAAGGGCCAAAGTCACAATTCAAAATCTTAGCTGTGGAAGCCTGGGAGGATGGTGGGTTTGGATGCTCTATGGCCTTCTGATGCCTCTACCACTGCAATACAAGTGTCTTTAATTGTCCAGTGTCCTATAAAAAAGGATGGAAAACTAGAACACTTTCAAGGGGCTTAAGCAAATACGTAAAGTGCCTGAATTATACTTTAAACTCAACCAATATCAGTTAGGGTAGATCAGTAGCAAATATCCTTACCTTTTTAAAGAAGGAATGAAAACTAAAGCAAGGGGTACCAGATTGAGTTAATTCCTCATGCTGAAACAAAAATAAAGTGAACCAAAAATACACCAGTATTCAGTTAATGTGTCCAATGTGGAGGCCAAACTACTAGGTGATTCAAGCTCTAGGTGGGTCTTCTAATTAATAACAACCAAAAAAAAACACTGGCTTTTTTTTTTGTTTGTTTGTTTTTTTGCTACACAGTCCTAATCTTAGAAATCCTCAGTGGCCAGGTACGGTGGCTCATGCTTATTACCCCAGCACTCTGGGAGGCCAAGGAGAGAGGATCGCTTGAGGGAAGGGGTTACCAGTCTGGACAGCACAGCAGGACGCTATCTCTACAAAAAGTAAAACAAATAAGCCAGGCATGCTGACAAGCGACAGTAGTACCAGCTACTCAGGAGGCTGAGGTGGGATGATTGAACCCAAGAGTTCGAGGCCACAGAGAGATATGATTGCACCACTACCCTCTAGCCTAGGCGACAGAGAAAGACATTGTCTCTTAAAAAAAAAAAAAAATCCTCAGAGATCATTTTTGAATGAAGCTTCAATGCAATGTACAATCAAGTATCTTTCCTTGGTCCTTAAATTACTCAAAATAGGTAATTCCTAAATATTAACAAAATACTTTCATGTTTCTATATCTTGCTAGCAACATCTCATTCTATGAACTAGACAGCTCTGGCAATGAAGACACCATAGGAAGTATTACTTATAGTAAACCATATTTTCATTTATATTTCATTTAACATAATTTCAAAGTCAGTCTATGCTTTAAGACAGGCAAAAGAACAGATATTCTAAATCTCATAAGAGAGTTTTTCACACTGTTCCTCTGAGCAGGGAATGGGGTTTCAGGGTTCTCAATGACAACACCTAACATTTTAACATGGAGATTTACCAGTAGATACAGAAAGCAATAACATCAATATACAAGAATCGATCTCTATGAGGGTCTCAATAAGCTTGTGGTACATACTCACCACCTCTGTAGGGTTGTAATGATAACGACCGATTTTCTACTCCTCTGCCAAATTTGGTGTCTTTTTTTTTTTAGGCAAAATGTCAAAAATGCAAAAAATATTCCTTATTTCTCTTAATACATTGAAAATAGTGGAAGATTCAGATTTGAATTCTTCATGAGTCCAGCTTTGAACACGACTTCTACTCATCGTATGTCATCAACATACGAACTCCAACTTTGGCGACTACCAGCAAACTGTTCAAAAGAAACAGAAAACGTCAGGTAAAGGACAGAACAGGCAACTACGTTTTTAAGGAACTAAACTCTGCAGGTTCGTCACAACTGCGTGGGGGAGGAGGTACTAAGGCAAGAGTGGTCACAGGTAAAATTTCCATCCCTGGAGGAACCAGAGAAAAGCATGCCAAGGAACAGTATCACTCTGAGGTCTTAAAATAGCACACATGAGCTGGATCCTAATGCAACTGCCAATAATTTGAAGAAACAGAGGCAAGAGAGAGCAAGGCCTCCCCGCCACACAGAGCTAATTAATGGTAGAACCTAAAGCCTCTTAGTTTACTGCTCTTGATCTAGCTCCACACTGACTCTTTTGCTTCAGGTATAAAACATTACACTGGCAGCATCACGATCATGATCAAAGTAGAGGGATGTAATCTTTCTCCAAAATAGGCTTTTTAAAATTCCCCTGCCTTTAGGATGTCTTTAGCATACTTAACAACTGAACTTTTTTTTTTTTGAGATGGAGTCTCACTCTGTTGCCCAGGCTGGAGTGCAGTAGCACGATTTCAGCTCACTGCAACCTCCGCCTCCTCAGTTCAAGTGACTCTCCTTCCTCAGCCTCCTGAGTAGCTGGGATTACAGGCATGCACCACCACACCCAGCTTATTTTTGTATTTTTCATAGAGACGCGGTTTCACCTTGCTGGCCAGGCTGGTCTCGAACTCCTGACTTCAAGTGATCCACCCGCCTCGGCCACCCAAAGTGCTGGGATTACAGGTGCAAGTCACTATGCCTGGCCTACAACTGAATTTTCTAAAACTCACAATTTGGTTTAGGTTTTATAATCAAAATTAGAAAACAGGATTCAATCAAAATTCCCTTTCAGCAAAATTTTCTATAAAATGTCACCTATACATCTAAGAAATATGGGACCCCCCCCACACATCCACCTCAAGTCACACAAAAGGCTGCAGTCATGGCTTCGCACTAAAACTTCGGCCACCACAGGGACGAGCTAGGATGGACCAGAGAACAAATACGAGAACAAAGCCATTTTCACAGTGAATGGATATACTCATGCCATTTTGACATTAAACCAACTATTGCTTTTGAAGCATTTTCTACTAGTGTATAAATCAAATGTCAGTTGATGCATGGTATCAGATATCCTAAAACGAGTAAAGTTTTGAACGCACAAAGTATCCTGGGCAATAAAGAATAATAGAATAGAAAGTACCTGGCACCTGCGATTAAACCTACAGGCATGACTTTTCCATGGTAGTAGGATCTCAATGCCATAACACTAGCAAAGGTGCCAGATGTAGCGGCTGAAAAAGATACAAAGAAGGGTGAAAACTCATTACATCTTCTACGCAGGAGAATCAGAAGTGGGCCAAGCCCCACTTATCTCTCCAGGCTCACACCTCATCCTATGCTCATTCCTCCTGCCCCAGGTAGGGGGAGATTACTGGCTGCCCACATCCTATGGATCCAATTACCAATATTGGTCAAATAGGGCCCTTCAAAGCCTGCCTGCCCTTCCGGCCTCAACTCTTACCACTCATCTTCTGCAAAACCCACTTCAGCCATCAATGTGTTAGTTTTCTCCAAAATGCTGCTGTTTTTCATGCCATGCAGACACTATTTCCTCTACCCTGCACACAATTCCCACTCGCCATCTGTCAAAGCACCTACTACATGTCAAGCACTGTAATAGGTGCTGAAGAATACAAAGGTAATCGAAACTGTCTTTGCCCTTTTACAATGCTTCAGGTCTGATGGGACAGACTTTAAAGAAACACACAAAGAAAAAGAAAAGTACAACTTGTGCTTCAGGTATAATTGATGCTACACAAAAAAACATAACAAGGGGATCAACCTACTCAGGGAGATCATGCAAGGCTTAGCCAAGGAAGGGAAGATTGGCTGAGATCTGAAATTACAGCAGGAGTTAATGAGCTGAAGGATGGGAAGGCCCATTCCAGGCAGAGGGGACAGTATGTATATGCAGAGGCCCCGGAATGAGAGGGAGCACACCACATTCACCCTAAAAGGCCACTGTGGCACAGAAGTCAAGATGCAGCTTGTGAGGAGGAGGTGCCTGATGACATGGAGGCTTGAAGGCCATACTAGGGATTGGGTTTTCATTCTAAGATCAATGAGAAGTTATTAAAGAATACTAAAGCTGGGCGCGGTGGCTCACGCCTGTAATCCCAGCACTTTGGGAGGCCGAGGCGGGTGGATCACAAGGTCAAGAGATCGAGACCATCCTGGTCAACATGGTGAAACCCCGTCTCTACTAAAAATACAAAACATTAGCTGGGCATGGTGGCGCGTGCCTGTAATCCCAGCTACTCAGGAGGCTGAGGCAGGAGAATTGCCTGAACCCAGGAGGCAGAGGTCGCAGTGAGCCGAGATCGCGCCATTGCACTCCAGCCTGGGTACAATTCTCCTACCTCCGCCTCCTGAGTAACTGGGATTACAGGCGAATACTAAGCAGAGGGACACATGAACAGAATTGCATTTTTTTTTTTTTTTTTGAGACAGAGTCTCACTCTACTGCACAGGCTGGAGTGCAGTGACATGATCTTGGCTCACGACAGCCTCTACCTCCTGGGATCAAGCAATTCTCGTTTCAGCCTCCTCAGTAGCGGGGACTACAGGCGCCCGCCACTATACCCAGCTAATTTCCCCCCCCCCCCCTTTTTTTTTTTTTTTTTTTTTTACAAGTTTAATGCAAATTATACCGGGTAAATACAGTCATGAAGTATGGAAATCTTTCCATATTCTGTACATAAATGATAAACAGAAACCAGCACGATTCCTGCCACCCTACTACCCCCATTTTAAAACTTTCCAAGGACTTGGTAGAAGCAATGTAACTGTCGTAAGTTAAGTATAACGAACCCGTCCCATCCCCCCAAACCAGGGCCTTTTGGAAAAGACTAATCCGCATACACAGCTGCCCTAAGGACATATAAAAGCAGACATACCTAGGAAAAGCCAAACGTTCTTTGGATCCTGAGACAGCTGGTAAGAACCCAGGCCGGCTAGGCTGCCGAAGAACAGCCCCACAACCAAGGATGGTACTCTGCCTAGAGGGAAGCAAACACAGCTTCATTTTAACATGAGGCACTTGCTTCACTAACAGAATCCACCAGACACCCCTCCCTACAAAGACAGACAGCAAAGAGAACTCTCAGCTCATAGCCAAGGTGGACACAAGAGGAGGATGTTTCAGGGACTTTTCTATCTTATCAGAGAAGCCAGGGTCTTGCCACCCCATCTTTCTCCCCTCTGATAGGCAAGGCACTTCCATCTAAGGAAAGGAAAGGCCATCTTCCCTCCTTACATGGAACTGTGGCTAGGCCTTCTTTCTAGTCAGGCCTGATCAACCATGATCAGGCGGGTTGTACAGGCAGGACCTCCCACAAATCACAAAAGGAGAGGGGGAAACAGTCAGTCAGTTAAAAAAAAATAAAAAATCTTGAGAATAAGAATTCTGGTGCAGGGGTTGGGGTGGGAATGTAGGCAAGGACAAGGGGGCAGAAACAAGCACAGCCACTGACACAGCCCTGCCTGGCCTAATGAGGAGACTTCAAAACACAAGTCTGTGAAGACCAGAGGTTTCCTCCTACTTGAGGCCAGAGATGGCACTTGGGGGCCATGGCTGATGCATGGCAATCAACAGTAACAATCTACAACAACCCCTGCCTACCTTTAGATAAAGAGGCAAAAACAAGGAATTCCACAAGAAGGCTGGCTTGGCTTTGCCAGATAACCAAAAGGCAAGTATTGGAGCTGCAAAACTGACAAGGAAGCCTGCACTCCAGCTTGCGGACCTACAGCAAACCTGACTCAAAGGAGATGGCTCTTCAGACAAGTGCCTGTTTGCAACAACAAAAAAGCAAAAAAAAAAAAAAAAAAAAAAAAAAAAAAAAAAAAAAAAAAAAAAAGGACATGGCTCTTCAGAAACCCTGGGCACTCACTTTTCACTCAAACAACGTGAAGATGTTAAGAGGCTAAGTAACAACAAAACCATACCTGTTTTTACATAGCCAAAGATCCCGCCAGAAGTAACCAGTGCTGTGTAGCCATAGCCAAACCAATGCAAAGGCACTCTGAAAACAGCAGGGTGAGAAGTCAGTGCCAACCAGGCTTTAGAAACAAACCATACTGTCACAGGATGGGACTAAAAGGTAATCATTCCTGCCAGATGAGCCTGTAATCCCAGCACTTTGGGAAGCTGAGGCGGGCAGATCATGAAGTCAGGAGATAGAGATCATCCTGGCCCACATGGTAAAACCCCATCTCTACTAAAAATACAAAAATTAGTCGGGTGTGGTGGCGCACACCTGTAGTCCCAGCTACTGAGGAGGCTGAGGCAGGAGAATCACTTGAACCTGGGAGGCGGAGGTTACAGTGAGCTGAGATTGTGCCACTGCACTCCAGTGTGGTAACAGAGCAAGACTCCATCTCATAAAAAAAAGAAAAGGTAATCATTCCTGACATGTCTTATCACTGAAAATAAGGCCCACAGAGGTTGAATGACTTTCTGAAAGCAACTTAACTCAGTAAAGCCAGAGCTGGGACTCAAACCCAAGTCACTGGCACACAGGTCCTGTGATCCTCCCACCCACCATACTGTCCCAGGCAGTCTACTTTTAGGGTTTTCAGCTGAGGAAAGGGACTCTGGTTTCCAGAAGCTCCTGGCTACTCCATTGACATTTACTGCCCACTCACATTGGGGTGAAGCCCTTCTCCATTCTTCTCTTCTCTGTCCAGACAGGAGACTACCCCAGGCCTGCACCTGCAGAAAACAGGCTGGATCAGAGGTGGTTAAAGGCACAGCTCTCCAGCAGTCAGAAAGAAGTGTGTCCAACCCGCAAGCTACGCAACCTAAGTCTCAGCATCCTTCACTGTGCCATGGGGATAACACTGCTACCAATTTCCTGGGGCTGTTGTGAGCATTCGGGGTGGGGAGGGTCATAAGTCATTAGCACATAGTAAACGCTGAACAGATGTCAACCATTGTCATCAAAACCTCAATTCTAATCACAGCAAACTGAGCAGGACCCACTGACCAGCTCTATAATCAGGTAATGTGTTAGCCATTTCATCAGCTAACCATACTACCACTAAATCGGAAAGCAAGTACTCCCATGCTCTTAATCCAACTACTTTAACGTCTCTTTTTGGGGGAGGCAGCGTGTTGATTTTCGTCCCTGCCAAAACACCCAATTTCAATACTCAACTTTTTTAGAAACTTCTGCATCCAACTCACAGGTTTTCTTTTTTTGAGGGGATGGCGGGTGGAGTCTCGCTCTGTTGCCCAGGCTTGAGTGCAGTGACACGGTCTCAGCCCACTGCAACCATCGCTTCCCTGGTTCAAGCGATTCTCCTGCCTCAGCCTCCCGAGTAGGTGGGATTAGAGGAATGCCCCACGACACCCGGCTAATTTTTGTATATTAGTAGAGACGGGGTTTCACCCTCTAGGCTGGTCTTGAACTCTTCACCTCGTTATGCCCGCCTCGGCCTCCCAAAGTGCTGGGATTACAGGTGTGAGCCACAGCGCCCGGCCCCTACTCACAGTTACAGTTAGGAGGACGGATAAAATATAGAGCGGATAAGGGGAGGATAAAATATAAGGAAACCCTCGTCATATTCACATCTGACGCTGCACCCTTGGAAAACAGCTCTTATTTTCTTACAGAAAACTATCTTGTATCTAGTGAGCCTAACAAGATGGAAAGCAATACACACCCCGTTTATCTCGTTTAAAGAATCAGGCCGGGCAAGGCTGAGGCGGGAGCCTGGTTTGAGCTCTGGAGGCAGAGGCTGCAATGAGACGTATCAGGCTACTGCGCTCCAACCTGGGCGACAGAGCGAGACCCTCCCTCAAAAAAAATAAAATAAAAAATAAATTTCCATAAAACGAGGAAGGGCAGGGGGCTTGGGATCTTGCCCACAGTTCTTAACTGGAGGCGGCAATGAGTTAACGAGGCTTTTAAAGAGATGGAGCAACAAAACCTCCAGGAAACGAGGCAACACCATGCTACTTGGGTGAGCCTTTGCCTCAGGAGCTCCGCGCGTCCACAACCACTTTTAAGACAAGCAGAAAATACCTAAAGAGCAAAGCATCGACCACACCGACTAAAGGCCCGGCTGAATCCGGGGTACGAAAAGCAGACGGCCGTGAAACTCCTAAATAATCCCTAAAAGCTAAAAGTGGCAGAAAATAATAAGACTATTCCCCAAGGGTCCGCACCGGTCTTCCGAAGGCACGCACGGTCCACAAGTGCACAGAAGCCGCGGCGCAAGACAGCCAGGTCTCGCCGGAAACGCGGCAGCGTGCGCTCTGCCTTCTGGGGGCGCGACTGGGCGGGGAGAGGGGCGGGGCATTGTGGCGCGTGCGCAGTTTACCGGGAGAGAGAGACGGGCAGGGGAGAGGGACGGCGGCGCCGGAGCTAGAGCTGCCGAGTAGCAGCAGCCAGCGCCCTGCGTCGCGGGGGCGGGGAGTAGGGCGGGGCATGGCGGCGCGCCAGAAAGTCTCGGGAACAGGGCGGGGAATCTCCGTGCTTCCTCGGTCCCCAGGCTCACCGCCTGCAGGGCCGACTAGCACCAGTCCCAGGTTTTATCTTCAGTGGCCAAAAGCCGGAAACCCGGAGTTGGAATTGGGTCTTGCACAAGCTGGACCACGTGAGCTGCGCCAGGCCGGAGGTGGGGGCCACCGCTGCAGGAGGAGGGCTTCTGAGGCTGGATTCTGAAGAACCCCGTTAATAGAGGGACAAGTTACAGGGTATAAACCAGATACGGGCCATCAGGGATGACTGTCACTGTAGCCCGATCTCGTTTGTTTACACCAGAAAGGGCCTGCCTTCTACCTGAAAGAAAACATGGCGGCTGCAGAATGTGGCTCACTGCCAAATATCCGTTTGTTTTAGGGAGTGAGGCTACTTGAGAAGCATCTTAAAGGAGGAGAGAGAGCAAGTTAAATCTGATCTCCACCCAGCTCTGTGGATCCCTGATGTCCACAGCGTGACGTTATCTCCATTCCCACCTCCAAGCCGCTCCTCTTCCTTGTTTCCTGCACCACCATTCGCTCAGTTGCTCTACACTAAAATTTGCTGTCATCGTTGACTTCTCTCCCTCCTTCCTCCCGTGCAGGTATCAACGTAGACAAATCTGATCAATAGAATCGTCAGTGAATAAAGCAAATTGTAGCGCATATTCCTAAGGAAAACTTAAAACTTGCCGCAGCACCTACTTTCCAGATAGCATAACTGAAGCCCATGTTTATCATAGCTGATTCTAACCAGCCAAAGCTGATAATGACTAAGAACTTGCGGCAACTGCAGTATGCCAGACCTTCACTTTAACTGAAGACTTTCCTGAACAATTAATAAGGAGACTTGTCTTAACCAGCAGGGAATAGCTTTAGGGACTCATTCTTCTCCATGCAGGGGCAAGCGTCAAACCTTAATTAGGATCATCCAGGATGATCCTCGGGTCCTTCCCCCACCTTATACGTGAAGAGATTGAACCTCAGAGAATTAAATTACCTACATTCCTGGTCAGTGGTAGAGCTATTATTTAAAGTAAGGTCTAACGTCAAAGCCTACGTCCTTAATTCTACAATATGCTGCCTCTTGTAGTGTCGTTCCTCAACCAGAACACATAGCTCTTCTGAGCAGGTACAGAGGGCAGGCACCATGGCTTGTGCTAGGACCCAGCACAACCCTTGTGACAGTAAATACTCCAGGATCTTTGCAGAGAAGCGGGGACAAGAGGAGTTGGCAAGAGCTATGAAGACCTCATGCCTCCCATCAGTGGGCTGCCTTAGAATTTTACGGGCTGATTGCTGGGGACCAAATAGTCACACAGGCATCAACTTGACACCTAAATTCCCACATTCAGGAGAAGCCAGGTCCTCATCTAGGGCTGAAGGTGGCAAAAATATATGCCCTTTGGAAAACATTGCATGACACATGAAAAAATGGCCAACATCACGATTCAAAATCTTAGCTATAGAAGCCTGAGAAGATGGTGGGTTTGGATGGTCTATGGCCTTCTGATGCCTCTACCATTGCAACACAAGTGCCCTTAATTGTCCAGTGTCCTATAAAAAAGGATAGAAAAGTACGAACAATTTCAAGGGGCTTATGCTAATACATACAATGCCTGAATCATACTCTAAACCAATGCCAGTTAGGGTAGAGCTCAGTAGCTAGTATCCTTTCCTTTTAAAGAGGGAATGAAAACTAAAGCAAGGGGTACCAGATTGAGTTAATTCTTCATGCTGAAACAGGAATAAAGTAAACTAGAAATGTACCAGTATCCAGTTAATGTATCCAATGTAGAGACCATGATTGAAGTTCTAGATGAGTCTTGTAGTTTCACATTTATGTATGAAGTAATTAACAACAACAAAAATACCATTTTTTCTCTACACAATCCTAATCTTAGAAATCCTCAGTGGGCAGGTACGAATAGCTCATGCTTATTACTCCACCACTTTGGGAGGCCAGGAGAGAGGATCACTTGAGACCAGGAATTTGAGACTAGCCTGGGCAACATAGCAAGATCCCATCTCTAAAAAAAAAAATGAAATAAATTAGCAGGGTGTGGTGATATGCACCAGCTGTACCAGCTACTCAGGAGGCTGAGGTAAGATGATTGAGCCCAAGAGTTTGAGGCTCAGTGAGATACGATTGCACCACTGCCCTCCGGCCTCGGCGACAAAGACCCTGTCTCTTGAAAAAGAAAGAAAATCCTCAGAGATCATTTTTGAAACAACCTTCAATGCAATGTACAATCAAATAACTTTCCTTGGTCCTTAAATTACTCAAAATAGGTTTCTAAATAGCAACAAAATCCTTTCATGTTTCTATATCTTGCTGCTATGAACATCTCATTGTATGAACTAGACAGCTCTAGCAATGAAGACATCATAGGAAATATTATTTATAGTAAACTTTATTTTCATTGGTATTTCATTTAACATAATTTCAACATCAGTCTGTGCTTTAAGATGAGCAAAAGAACAGATATTCCAAATCTCATAAGATATTTCTTCACACTGTTCCACTGAGCAGGGAATGGGGTTTCTGGGCCCTCAAAGATGACACCTGACATTTTACCCTTGCGATTTACCTACAGATACAGAAAAAAGTGATAACATCAACATACGAGAATCAATCTCTATGAGGCTCTTATTAAGCTCTTCTGTAACATACTCGCCACCCCTGTAGGATTGTAATCGTAATGACTGATTTTCCACCCCTCTGCTACGTTTGGTGGCTTTTTTTCTTTTTTTAGGTAAAATGTCAGATGCAAAAATGCTGCCTTTATTTCTCTTCATACACTGAAAATAGTATAAGATGCCAGATTTTTAATTCTTCAGGAGTCCAAGCTGGAACATGACTTCTGCTAATGGGGTCTGTTGAACATACTAACTCCAACTTTGGCAACCATCAGCAAACTGTTTAAAAGAAACACAGATAGAAAACGTCAGGTAAAGGACAGAACAGACAACTATGTTTTTAAGGAACTAAACTCCAGGTTCCTCACAACTGCGTAGGGGAGGAGGTACAAAGACAAGAGCCGGTCAGAGGTAAAATTTCCATCTTTGCAGGAACCAGAGAAAAAGCATGCCAAGGGACAGTCTCACACTGAGGTTTTAAAATAGCACACATGAGCTGGATCCCAATGCAACTGCCAACAACTTGAAGAGATGAAGTGGAGGCAAGAGAGAGCAAGACTTCCCCACCACACAAAGCTAATTAATGCTGGAATCTCCAGCTTTTCAGTTTACTGCTCTAGACCTTGATCCACACTGACTCTTTTGCGTCAGGTATAAAACATTATACAGCAGCATCACAGCTACAATTAGAGTAGAGCACGTAATTTTTTTCCAAAACAGATTTTTTTTTTTTTTGGGACGGAGTTTCACTCTTGTTGCCCAGTCTGGAGTGCAATAATGCGATCTCGGCTCAACACAACCTCCACGTCCAAGGTTCAAGCGATTCTCCTGCCTCAGCCTCCCGAGTAGTTGGGATTACAGGAATGTGCCACCATGCCCAGCTAATTTTGTATCTTACCTCAGGCGATCCACCTGCCTCAGCCTCCCAAAGTGCTGAGATTACAGGTGTGAGCCACCATGCCTGGCCCAAATCAGATTTTTAAAAATTCCCCCACCTTCAGGATGTCTTTATGATAATTAACAACTAAATTCTTCTTTTCTTTTTTGAGACACAGTCTCACTCACTCTGTTGCCCAGGCTGGAGTGTAGCGGCACAATTTTGGCTCACTGCAACCTCCACCTCCCAGGTTCAAGCAATTCTCCTGCTTCAGCCTCCCAAGTAGCTAGGATTGCAGGTGTGTGCCACCACGCCCGGTTACCTTTTATATTTTTCATAGAGATGGGGTTTCATGATGTTGGCCAGACTGGTTTTGAACCCCTAATCTCAAGTGATCCACCCACTCTAGCCTCCCAAAGTGCTGGGATTACAGGCATGAGCCATCACACCTGGCCTATAACTAAATTTTTTAAAAACCACAATTCGGTTTAGGTTTTATAATCAAAATTAGAAAACAGGGCCAGGCGCAGTGGGTCACGCCCGTAATCCTAGCACTGTGAGAGGCCGAGGCGAGTGGATCACAAGGTCTGGAGTTTGAGACCAGGCTGGCCAACAATGGTGAAACCCCGTCTCTACCAAAACTACAAAAATTAGCCAGGCGTAGTGATGCATGCCTATATACCAGCTACTATGGAGGCTGAGGCATGAGAGTCGCTTGAACCCGGGAGGCCGATGTTGCAGTGATCAGAGATTGCACCACTACACTCCAACCTGGGTGACAGGACAATGCTCCATCTCAAAAAAAAAAAAAAAAAAAAAAAAAAAAAAAATTAAAAAACAGGATTCAATCAAAATTCCCTCCTAGCAAAATTTTCTATAAAAAACACCTCCACATCTAAGAAATATGGGACCCCCACACCTTCTGTGCAAGTCACACAAAAGGCTGCAGTCATGGCTTCGCACTGAAACTTCGGCCACCACAGGGACGAGCTAGGATGGACCAGAGAGCAAATATGAGAACAAAGCCATTTCCACAGTGAATGGATATACTCATGCCATTTTGCCATTAAACCAGCTATTGCTTTGAAGTGTTTCCTATTAGTGTATAAATCAAATATCAGTTGATGCATAGCATCAGATATCCTGAAACAAGTAAGGTTTTGAATGCACAAAGTATCCTGGGGAATAAACTGAACTCTACATGGTAAAGAAGAGTAGTAGAAGGGAAAGTACCTGGCACCTGCGATTAAACCTGCAGGCATGAATTTTCCAGAGTGGTAGAATCTCATTCCCATAATGCCAGCCAAGGTACCAGATGTAGCTGATGAAAAAGATACAAAGAAGGGTGAAAACTCATTACATCTTCTACACAGGGGAATCAGACCCACTTATCTCTCCAGGCTCACACCTCATCCTATGTTCATTCCTCCTGCCCCCAGTAGGGGGAGATTACTGGCTGCCCACATCTCATGGATCCAATTACCAATATTGGTCAAATAGGGCCCTTCAAAGCCTGGGCCCTGCTTGCCCTTCCAGCCTCATCTCTTACTTATCACTTGTCTTCTGCAAAACCTATACTTTAGCCATTAATGTGTTAGTTTTCTCCAAAATTGCTGCTGTCTTTTTTTTTTTTTCATGCCATGCAGACACTATTTCCTCTACCCTGCACACAATTCCCACTGGCCATCTGTCAAAGCACCTACTACATGTCAAGCACTGTATTAGGTGCTGAAGAATACAAAGGTAATGGAAACTGTCTTTGTCCTTTTACAATGCTTCAGGTCTGATGGGACAGACTTTAAAGAAACACACACAAAAAAGAAGGTACAATTTGTGCTTCAGGTATAATTGATGCTACACAAAAAAGCATAACAGGGGGATCAACCTATTCAAGGAGATCATGCAAGGCTTAGCCAAGGAAAGGAAGATTGGCAGAGATCTAAATTTACAGCAGGAGTTAATGAGCTGAAGGATGGGAAGGCCCATTCCAAGCAGAGGGGACAGTATATGCAGAGGCCCCAGGATGAGAGAGAACAGCACATTCACCCTAAAAGGCCAGTGTGGCACAGAACTCAAGATGCAGTTTGTGAATAAGAGGGGCCAGACCACATGGAGTCTTGTAAGGCCATACTAGGGATTGGGTTTTCATCCTAAAAGCAATGAGAAGCTATTAAAGGATACCAAACAGAGGGACACATGAACAGAGTGGTATTTTTTCTTTTTTTTTTTTTTGAGACAGAGTCTTACTCTGTTGCCCAAGCTGGTGTGCAATGGCATGATCTTGGCTCACTGCAACCTCCGCCTCCCAAGATCAAGCAATTCTCAAGTCTCAGCCTCCTAAGTAGCTGGGACTACAGGTGCCCACCACCATACCTGGCTATTTTTTTTTTTTTTTTTAATTTTAGTGAGACCAAGTTTCACCATGTCGCCCACAGTGGTCTCAAACTGAGCTCAGGCAATCTGCCCGCCTCAGCCTCCCAAACCTGAGGTCAGGAGTTCGAGACCAGCCTGGCCAACATGGCAAAACCCATTTCTACTAAAAACAGAAAAATCAGTTGGTTGTGTTGGCAGATTCCTGTAATCCCACCTCCCCAGAAGTCTGAGGCAGGAGAATTGTTTGAACACGGGAGATGGAGTTTGCAGTGAGCTGAGATCTCACCACTGCACTCCAGCCTGGGCAGCACAGGAAGATTCTGTTTCAAAAAAAAGAGAAGTTCGGCCGGGCGCGGTGGCTCAAGCCTGTAATCCCAGCACTTTGGGAGGCCGAGGCGGGTGGATCACGAGGTCAAGAGATCAAGGCCATTCTGGTCAACATGGTGAAACCCCGTCTCTACTAAAAAAATACAAAAAATTAGCTGGGCATGGTGGTGTGTGCCTGTAATCCCAGCTACTCAGGAGGCTGAGGCAGGAGAATTGCCTGAACCCAGGAGGCGGAGGTTGCGGTGAGCCGAGATCACGCCATTGCACTCCAGCCTGGGTAACATGAGTGAAACTCCGTCTCAAAAAAAAAAAAAAAAAAAGAAGTTCCTGAAGGGGAAGGAGACAAGCACACCTGAATGTCAACAGGGGGATCCACCTAGAAGGGGGAATACAAATACAAGATGGGATCCTTGCCAGTGTAAAGCTCCGGAGGTGGTCGGGGAGAAGACACCCAAACCCAGAGGAAGACACTGGTCTCAGAGAGGAGAGAAACAGGACTGAGGCTTGGAAATTAAAGGCTCCAGGGAGTCCCCACCTGATGGCTGCTTTTTTCCCTGAAGTAGGCATGAGGTCATTTGCTGAGTAGAGTAGGATTAGAGAAAGGGAAAACACAGACTGAAAGTCATTCTGGATCATGAGGGAGGAAGCTGTTAGGCAGAGCTGGGACCTGGGCGCACCTCCTTCCCCAGCACACCTCATCAGCCATCACTGACCTCCCTTCCCAACCCCGGCTGATGTATATGGATCATAAGGCTTCTCCCTCCTGCATGGCACTCAATCTCACACCAGGGGTTTGTGGAGATGGTGATAAACCCATACTCCTAGCAGTGTCTGACACACAGGTGGAGCCCAACAGAAATGTGCTGAAAGCCACCCTGATAAGGACTCTTCTGTTCCCCCACACCACTCACTGTCCTTGCTGTTCACAGTGTACATTTCCAGACCTGCTTCTACATCCGTGTTTTTTGTTTATGTTTTTTTTGTTGACGTGGAGTCTTGCTTTGTCACCCAGGCTGTAGTGCAGTGGCATGATCTCAGCTCAGTGCAACCTCCACGTCCCAGGCAGGTTCAAATGATTCTCCTGCCTCAGCCTCCTGAGTAGCTGGGACTACAGGTGCCCGCCACCATGCCCAGCTAACTCTTATAATTTTTTTTTTTTTTTGAGACGGAGTCTCACTCTGTCACCCAGGCTGGAGTGCAATGGCACCATCTCAGCTCACTGCAACCTCTGCTTCCCAGGTTCAAGTGATTCTTCCGCCTCACTTCCCCAGTAGCTGGGACTACAGGCATGTACCACCACGACCTGGCAAATTTTTGTATTTTTAGTAGACACGGGGTTTCACCATGTTGGCCAGGCTGGTCTCGAACTCTGGACCTCATGATCCGCCTGCCTCGGCCTCCCAAAGTGCTTGGATTACAGGCCTGAGCCACCGCAGTCACATTTTAGTTGACTGCTAAAGGTGATTTTCAAATGAGAACACTGCAATTCCAATGCAAACCTAACCCAGATGTATGATATTTTAGTGATAATGAAGCCAATGGTCTTCAGTGGGGACCTCAACAGTTGACACATTATTGGCCTTACAAAAGTTTAACGCTAATTACAGGAGTTTAACGCTCAATTTCTATATACAGAAGCTTAATGCTACTGGGTAGATACATTCATGAGGTATAGAAATCTTTCCACGTTCTGTACATAAAAGATAAACAGAAACCAGCACAATTCCTGCATCCGCACCCTCATTTTAAAACTCTCCAAGGACTTGGTAGAAGCAGGAAACTGTCGTAAGTTAAGTATGATGAACCCGCCCCATCCCACCAAACCAGGGCCCTCTGGAAAAGACTAATCCGCATACACAGCTGCCCTAAGGACATACAAAAGCAGACATACCTAGAAAAACCCAAACGTTCCTTGGATCCTGAGACAGCTGGTAAGAACCCAGGCCGGCTAGGCTGCCGAAGAGCAGCCCTGCTGCCAGGGATGGCACACTGCCTAGAGGGAAGCAAACACAGTGTTCATTTTAACATGAGGCACTTGCTTCACTAACAGAATCCACCAGACACCCCTCCTTACAAAGAAAGACAGCAAAGAGAGCTCTCAGCTCATAACCAAGGTGGACACAAGAGGAGGATGTTTCAGGGACTTTTCTATCTTATCAGAGAAGCCAGGGTCTTCCTACCCCATCTCCCCTCTAATAGGCAGGGCACTTCCATCTAAGGAAAGGAAAGAAGGTCATCTTCCCTCCTTACATGGAACTGTGGCTAGGCCTTCTTTCTAGTCAGGCCTGATCAACCATGATCAGGCGGGTTGCACAGGCAGGACCTCCCACAAATCACAAAAGGAGAGGGGGAAACAGTCAGTCAGTTAAAAAAAATAAAAAATCTTGAGAATAAGAATTCTGGTGCAGGGGTTGGGGTGGGAATGTAGGCAAGGACAAGGGGGCAGAAACAAGCACAGCCACTGACACAGCCCTGCCTGGCCTAATGAAGAGACTCCAAAACACAAGTCAGTGAAGACCAGAGGTATCCTCCTACTTGAGGCCAGAAATGGCACTTGGGGGCCATGGTTGATGCATGGCCGTCAATGATAGCAACAATCTACAACAACCCCTGCCTGTCTTTAGATAAAGAGACAAAAACTAGGAATTTGACAAGAGGCCTGGCTTGGCTTGACCAGATAACCAAAAGGCAAATGCAGGAGCTGCAAGACTGACAAGGAAGCCTGCACCCCAGCCTGGGACCTACAGCAAACTGGACTCAATGGTTCGTCAGGCACTCACTTTTCACTGGAACAACGGGAAGATGTTAAGAGGCTAAGTAAAATCGAAACCATACCTGCTTTTACATAGCCAATGATCCCACCAGTAGCAACCAGTGCTGCATAGCCGAAACCAATCCAATGCAAAGGCACTCTGAAAACATGAGAGTGAGAGTCAGTGCTAACCTGGCTTTAAAAACAAACCATACTGTTACTAAAAGGTAATCAATCATTCCCCACAGGTCCTACCACTGAAATAAGGCCCACAGAGGTTGAATGACTTTCTGAAAGCCACTCAACTCAGTAAAGCCAGAGCTGGGACTCAAACCCAAGTCACTGGCACATAGGTCCAGTGATCCTCCCATTGCCCATGCTGTCCCAGGCAGTCTACTTTTAGGGTTTTCAGCTGAGGAAAGGGACTCTGGTTTCCAGAAGCTCCTGGCTACTCCGCTGACATTTACTGTCCACTCACACTGAGCCAGTGTCCTGCATTCTTCTCTTCTCTGTCCAGACAGGAGACTACCCCAGGCCTGCACCTGCAGAAAACAGGCTGGATCAGAGGTGGTTAAAGGCACAGCTCTCCAGCAGTCAGAAAGAAGTGTGTCCAACCCGCAAGCTACACAACCTAAGTCTCAGCATCCTTCACTGTGCCATGGGGATAACACTGCTACCAATTTCCTGGGGCTGTTCTCAGCATTCGGGGTTTTGGTGGGGGGTCACAGGTAAAGGTGCTTAGCACATAGTAAACGCTGAACAGATGCCGACCATTGTCATCAGAACCTCAATTCTAATCACATAGGCCCACAGGAAACTCAGCAAGGTTAACTGACCAGCTCTATAATTAGGTAACGTGTTAGCCACTTCATCAGCTACCCACATTACCACTAAATCGGAAAGCAAGTACTCCCGTGCCCTTAATCCAACGACTTTAATGTCTCTTTTGGGTAGAAGCGGCCCTTAATCCAACTATTTTAACGTCTCTGTGTAGAAGAGACCGGGGTGTTGCTTTTTGTCCCCGCTGCAACACCGAATTTCATCAACTTTTTTAGAAACGTCTGTGTCCAACTCACAGTTATTGTTAGGAGGGCAGAAATAGAGGATAGAATATACAGAAACCTTAGCCATATTCACATGTGACATTGCACCCTTGGAAAAACAGCTCCTATTTTCTTACAGGAAAATATCCTGTATCCAGTGAGCCTAACAAGATGAAAGCAATGCATATCCCGTTTATTCTGTTTAAAGAATCAGGCCAGGCGCGGTGGCTGACGCCTGTAATCCCAGTACTTTGGGAGACCCAGGTGGACGGATCACCTGGAGTTAGGAGTTCGAGACCAGCCTGGCCAACATGGTGAAACCCACTGTCTACTAAAAAATACAAAAAAATTAATCGGAAATGGTGGCACACGCCTGTAATTCCAACTACTTGGGAGGCTCAGATGGGAGGACGACTTGAGCCTAGGAGACAGAGGCTGCAATGAGACATATTCTGACTACTGCACTCCAGCCTGGGCGACAGAGACCCTCCCTCGATAAAAAAAAAAAAATAAGTTTCCACAAAACGGGAAAGGGCAGGGGGCCTGGGATCTTGCCCACAGTTCTTAACTGGAGGCGGCAATGAGTTAGCGAGGCTTTTAAAGAGATGGGGCAACAAAACCTCCAAGAAACGAGGCAACACTATGCTACATGGGCGGGCCTTTGCCTCAGGAGCTCAGGGGCTCCGCGCGTCCACAACCACTTTTAAGACAAACAGAAAATACCCAACGAGCAAAGCACCGGCCACACCGACTAAAGGCCCAGCTGAATCCGGGAGACGAAAAGCAGACGGCCGTGAAACTCCTAAATAATCACTAAAAGTTAAAAGTGGCAGAAAACAATAAGAATAATCCCCAAGTACCCGCACCGATCTCCCGAACGTCCGTGGAGTCTACAAGGGCGCGCAAGGCCCGGGCCAGGTCAGCAGGTCTCGCGGCGGCGGCGGTCGCTTGGCTTCGGGGAACCCGGGCCGGGAGAGAGGCGCGGTTTCATGGCGCATGCGCAATGTCCCAGGAGAGGGGCAGGCAAAGAATCGCGGGGCTTCAGCCGCAAAGTAGCAACACGCGCTCTGCATCCAGTGGGCGGGGCATCGCGGCGCGCGCCGGAGTCCTGCAAACCGGGCGGGGAGTCTCTGTGCTTCCTCGATCCACAGCGCCTGCAGGACCGACCAGCACCAGTCCCAGGTTCTATCATGAGTGCCCAAAGGCCAGAAACACGGAGTTGGAATTGGGTCTTGCACAAGCTGGACCACGTGAGCTGCGCCAGGCCGGAGGTGAAGGCCACCGCTACGGGAGGACGGCTTCTGAGGCTGGATTCTGAAGAAGCCCATTAATAGAGGGACAAGTTACAGGGTATAAACCAGATATTGGCCGTCAGGGAGGATTGTCACTCAAAGCCGATCTCATTTGTTTACACCAGAAAGGGCCTGCCTTCTACCTGAAAGAAAACATGGCGGCTGCAGAATGTGGCTCACTGCCAAATATCCGTTTGTTTTAGGGAGTGAGGCTACCTGAGAAGCATCTTAAAGAAGGAGAGAGAGCAAGTTAAATCTGATCTCCACCCAGCTCTGTGGATCCCTGATGTCCACAGCGTGACGTTATCTCCATTCCCACCTCCAAGCCGCTCCTCTTCCTTGTTTCCTGCACCACCATTCGCTCAGTTGCTCTACACTAAAATTTGCTGTCATCGTTGACTGCTCTCCCTCCTTCCTCCCGTGCAAGTATCAACATTGACAAATCTGATCAATAGAATCGTCAGTGAATAAAGCAAATTGTAGCGCATATTCTTAAGGAAAAACTTTCCACTTGCCGCAGCACCTACTTTCCAGATAGCAAAATTGAAGCCCGTGTTTATCATAGCTGATTCTAACCAGCCAAAGCTGATAATGACTAAAAACTTGCAGCAACTGCAGTATGCCAGACCTTCACTTTAATTGAAGACTTTCCTGAACAATTAATAAGGAGACTTGTCTTAACCGGCAGGGAATGGCTTTAGGAGCTCATTCTTCCCTATGTAGGCGCAAGCCTCAAACCTTAATTAGGATCATCCATCATGATTCTGGCACCCTCTCCCCTACCTTATACTTGAAGAAACTTCACCTCAGAGAATTGTATTACCAACAGCCCTCGTCACTGGTAGAGCTATTATGTAAAGTAAGGTCTGAAATACAAAAAGTAGCCAGGCGTAGTGGCGCACTCCTGTAATCCCAGGTAGTCAGGAGGCTGAGGCAGGAGAATCGCTTGAACTCAGGAGGCGGAGGTTGCAGTGAGCCAAGATCATGCCATTGCACTCCAACTTGGGCAACAAGAGCGAAGGTACATCTGAAAAAAAAAAAAATCCAGAAGTAAACTATATTTGTGTCAATTGGTTGAACTCCTTCACACTAATATTAATGCAAGATAGATAGAACATAGACATATATGCCACAGCTGAAACTACAAAACTCATTAAAGAAAATATAGGCATAAAACTTGATTACCTGGGATTAGGCAAAGCCTTCTTAGATATAAAACCAAAAGCACCAGCAACAAAAGAAAAAACGAACTGGACTTCATCAAAATTAAAGACTTGTGCTTCAAATGGATACCAACCAAACAGTGAAAAGACAACTCACAGAAGGGGAGAAATATTTGCAAATCACATACCTGATCATGGATTTGTATCAAGAATATACAGAGAACTCTTACAAGTCAATAGTAAAACAATAAGTAACAATTTAAAAATGGGCAATATATCTGAATAAACATTTCTTCAAAAAAGATAAAAGCAAAATGATAAGAGGCTCATTATCATTAGCCATCAGAAAATGCAAATCAAAACCACAATGAGCTACTACTTCCTATCCACTGGAATGGCCAAAATAGAAACAAAAACCAAGTGTCAGCAAAGATGTGGCAAAATTGTAACACTCATACACTGGTGGTGGAAATATAAAGGGTGTGACCACTTTAGAACAGTATAGCAGTCCCTCAAATGGTTGAACATAAGAGTAATCATCTGATTGGACAGAATTTTACTTCTAGGTATATATGTACCCAAGAAAAATGAAAACATATGTCCATGCAAAAACTTATGGTCAAAGCAACATTATTAATATTAGCCAAGAGGAAACAAATATGCATCCACTATTGAATGGATTAAACAAATTGTGTTATATCCATACAATGAAATATTATTTGGCAATAAAAAGAAATACTGATACATGTTACAATATGGATGAGGTGAGGTGGCTCACACCTGTAATCCCAGCACTTTGGGAGGCCGAGGCAGGTAGATTACCTGAGGTCAGGAGTTCGAGACCAGCCTGGCCAACATGGCAAAACCCTGTCTCTACTAAAAATAGAAAAATTATGGTCGGGCACAGTGGCTTATGCCTGTAATCCCAGCACTTTGGGAAGCTGAGGCAGGCATATCACAAGGTCAGGAGTTTGAGGCCAGCATGACCAACATGGTAAAATCCTGTCTTTACCAAAAAAAAAAAAAAATTCAAAAATTAGTCGGGTGAGGTGGTGGGCGCCTGTAATCCCAGCTACTCAGGAGGCTGAGGCAGGAGAATTGCTTGAACCCAGGAGGCAGAGGTTGCAGTGAGCCAAGATGACATCATTGCACTCCAGCCTGGGTGACAGCGAGACTCCATCTCAAAACAAATAGAACTAGAAAGATAAAAATTAGCCAGGTGTGGGGTGGTGTGCACCTGTAATCCCAGCTACTAGGGAGGCTGAGGCAGGGGAATCTCGTGAATCTGGGAGGCAGAGGTTGCAGTATAATGACATTTTGATCAACAATGGATGGCATATACAATGGTGGTCACTTAAGACTATGACTGTACCATATGGCCTAGGTGTGTTAGCAGGCTCTACCATCTAGGTTTGTGTAAGTACACCCTATGATGTTCACATAAAATGAAATCATCTAATGAGGCATTTCTCAGAATGTATCCCTGTCATTACGTGACATGATTGTAAATAATTTTTTTTTTTTTTTTTTTGGAGAGAAGCATAGAACTATCCTTAATTTTAGGCAGAAGGGAAAAGGGGGAGAATCATTCTACTTAAATTCAAAGCTTATTATATAGCTGCAGTAATTAAGACTCTGTGGTACTGGCAAAAAGATCAACACAGATCAACATAACAAAATGGACAGTCCAGTAACAGACCCACACTAATACGCTCAGTTGAATTCTGGCAAAGATGCAAATGCATTTCAATAGAGGAAGGACGGTCTTTTCAACAAGGGACTAGAGCAAGTTGATGTCCATAGGCAAGAAAATAAACTTCAAATTAAACATTTACTAAACACATACTAAATGTAAAACTCTACAAAACCTTTTGAAAACATAGAACCTCTTGAAGACAGAGATAAACCTTTGCTAGACAAAGGTTTCTTGGGCTTAATACTAAAAGCATGATCCATGAAAGGAAAAATTGATGAACTGGATTTCAACAAAATAAAAAGATTTTAGCTCTGCAAAAGACTGTTAGGATAAAATACAAGCTACAGACTAGGCAAAAATATTTTCCTACAAATATTTCTACAATATATAACAAACTCTCCATTGGGCGTGGTGGCTCATGCCTGTAATCCCAGCACTTTGGGAGGCTGAGACAGGCAGATCACTTGAAGTCACCCTGGTCAACATGGCTGGCCCACCTCTACTAAAAATCCAATTAGCCAGGTGTGGTGGCACGTACCTGCAATCCTAGCTACTTGAGAGGCTGAGGCACGAGAATCGCTTGAACCCGGGAGGTGGAGGATGTAGTAAGCCAAGATTGTATCACTGCACTCCAGCCTGGGTGACAGAGCGAGACTCCATCTCAGAAAAAACTCTTGAAATACAACAGCAAAAAAGAATAAAATATATAATTTGAACATGGACAAAAGACATTTCACCAATTATGATACACAGATGGCAAATAAGCACATGGAAAGATGATTAACATCATTAGCTATTAGAGCAATTCTAAGTTACAACCACAGTAAGATATCACCACACTCTTACCAGAATAGCTAAGAATAACATTAAATGCTGGAAATGATGCAGAGAAACTGGATCACTCAAACATTACTGGTAGAAATATAAAATCATACAGCTATTCTGGAAAACTTTGGAGCTCCTGGGTATTTGTCCAAGAGAAATAAAGACTATGGTTCACATAAAAACCTGTACACAAATGTTTACAGCAGCTTTATTTAGATACCTAACTTCCTGATGTCCTTTCACAGGTGTTTACTATGGTATATCTATATTGATATCTCACTCAGTACTAAAAACAGAACTACTGATGCAACAGTCTGGATCAATGCCCAAGAGGTTATGGTGAGTGAAAAAAGCCAATCCCAAAACAAAGTATAATCCAATTATAATTTTGGCAAAATTACAGAGATGGAGAACAGATCACTGGTGCCAGAGGTTACGAAGGTGGGTGTAGCTATATGAGCACAAGAGGAAAGTATGGCTTATAAGGACAACAGATGGGATCATTGTGATAGAAATGTTCTATATCTTGATTACTATCATTTATATTGTATCTTGGCCTGGTTGTGATATTGTCCTAGTGTTGCAAGATGTTATCATTGGGAAAACTGAGTGGAATCTCCAGTATTATTTCTTACAAGTGTATGGGAATCTACAATGATCTCAAAATTTAAGTTGAATTGAGAAAAACAAGGCAATGATCTATATTTATGTTAATAGGCCTGAAATACGCTAACAAAGAGGAGTAGACTGATTATTAAGACACACAACTTGGTTCATTTCCTAGATAATTTATTCCGATGGAGTGCCAATTCCAGTGCCTGTTAAGATATCTTATTCTGCCTAATCAGAAGTTTCTTCTGATGGTCTCAGGTATCAATCTACCCAGTTAATACAAACCTATGGATCCCCAATCATGTCTTTTTTTTTTTTTTTTTTTTTTTTAAGACAGGGTCTGGCTCTGTTGCCCAAGCTGTAGTACAGCGGCACAGTCTCAGCTCACCGCGACTTCCACATCCTGGGCTCGAGCCATTC